TTTCTTGAGCATCTAGTTGATCCCAGGAGCTCTAGGTGACTTTCCATGCCTTGTCTTGGTGAATCCTCACAATGAGGTAAGCATTACTACCCCAATTTACAGATAAGGAGCCTGAGGCTCAGAGAGGCAATTCACCCATGGCAGAGCCAGGAATCAAACCCAGGTGCCATTAATTCACCAACTCTTTCATTCACATTTCTTTCTTCATTCATTCATCATCGATTAGGTGCTAGGGATACAAATATGAATTCATTTTGGTTATGGGAAAAATGCCAAGGGAGAATCAAGGAGGGAGAAACGCAGTGACAGCTGGGAGGGGTGTGTGTGTGAAGTGTGTGGTGGGGGGACGCTGGCAGGCAGTGAATGTCTCCCAGACATGAAGAATAGATATAGTGTCACTGGGGTGTGGGAGTGAGGGGGGAAGATATTTTAGGGGAGGAAAGGCTCATGAAGGTGGGGAAGACCTGGCAGAATGTGGGTGCTTGGTGGGTGGTAAGATGGCACGTTGTGGGGAGCACGGAGGACGTGGAGGCCAGTGTGGGAGATGAGCCTGCAGCCTGTGCCTTAAAGGTCTTGTGCACCAGCCCAAGGAGGCTAGACTGGATTTGCTGGGCCTGGGGATCCCCTGGAAGTTTTGCAGCAAGCATGCTCAGTTGGCTTTGTAGGAAGAGCCGCTGTGAAAGCAGGGTGGAGGCTGGCCTGAAAGCAGAAGCCCACCCAGAAGGCCTCTGGAATAGATCAGGGAAGAGGTGACAGATAAACTACAGCTGTGGCCCTGGGGAACAGAGAAGAGGGGACAAATCTCCTAAGACTTGTAGGTGGTAGATAAGTCTGGAAGGATTCAGTGCAGGGGATGGGTGGGAGTCGAGGATGATTCCCAGGCTCTGGCTTGAACAACTGGGTAGATGAGGTTGCCAGGCTCTGAGGCAGGAACACAGAGGGAACAAACATGTGGCCGCCTGACTGGCAGGTCATCTAGTTCTAGAAAAGCTGCATTTGCAGCCCAGCAGTGAGGTCTGCCCTGGAGAGATTTGAGAGCTCTCAGCTGGTTTCTTGATTCTTAGCCTAGTACTCTACTCCACCTAGCCTACCTCAAATATCTTCTGCAAATGGGAGGTCCCCATGACACAGGCCATCCTGAGCCCCCATTGGATTTGGGGTTAAGTACAGGGAGGTTTCTGTAGGGTTTATATAAATGCAGCAAGACTCAGAGTGGACAGACAGTGTGCTGGGCAGAAAGCTAAGGGGTCACTTTATTCAGCCTGGTTCCAGGCAGGATTTCCCCCTAAACCCAGATTTCCCTGAGGGTCCTTCCCCTCCCCCATCCTACTCTATCAGGGAAAGAGCTGGAAGAACTCTGGGTAGTGCTCAGAAAGGATCAACCGGAGTGTGATTTGCATATAATTTGCATAAGACAATCTGTTCTCTGGTAATTTTCAAGTGAAAATGTTATCAGCTCTCCCTGGAGGGTCATTGTGTGATTTTTCTTTCCTTTGTTCTTCCAGACACACAGACTGCCCCAGGTCGGCCCTCTAGGAAAGCCTTTTGGAGAGGAGGGGCCGAGGGGGCTGGGAGAAGTGGGGCAATCCCCCCTCCCCGTTGCGTCCTCCCTCCAGTGCTGAAGCCTAGGGCTTCCTCCTCAGGGAACTGTGCAGATCCAAGCTCCTACTGACCCCTCTTAGTCTCCTTCAGAGGCCACCCTCCAGGCTTAGGCGCTGCCTGCCTCCCTGTAACCCTTGGTTGCTGCCCTGCCCTGGGGCCTCCCTTGGGGCCCAGCTGCTCAGTCAGGCCCAGGCAGCTCACAGCACAGGCCTGGCTCAGGGGACTTTTTCTAATAGGTGGATAATTGCCTCTGTTAATTGCAATTTGATTTTAGCAATCTTTCTCTAAGAGCCTGGAGGCCTCAGGCCCAGATCAGGAGAGAGGGTGCAGGAGTGGAGCCTGCAAGCTAGGATCCCACCTGGAATCTTACCACCTGCTGGGCCTCCCCTAGGCTCTGTCCCTCCCAGGTAGGGGACTGGGGCCTGAGCTGCATCTCACCCCCATGGCCTCAGCTCCTCGAGAAGGACATACTACAGATGGCTCCAAACACCACTAGCCACCAGGGAGCAGTTTGGCCGTGCTTCTGGAAGGGGTGAGCTGGCAGACACTCCAGGGTCAGAGCGGGGACCCCATCGCCAAGTCTGGAGGGTTTCCTGTCGAAGCCAAGAGGCTGCTGGATTCTGTTCCATGACCATCCCCATTCGCTCAAACCCGTTCCTGGAGCTACCACCATCCCCTCCTCCTCACAGCCAGCCCTGTCCTCCAGGGACCCTCAGAGCATGGTTTTTGGAGCCCAGCTGCCTGGTGCTCCTAGAACGAGTTCCTTTGCTTCTCCGTGATTTGTTTCCTTGCCTTTAAAGTGGGGGAAATAAGAGTATCTCCAATGGTGTTGTCATGAGGTCAATGACATTTGCCAGGTTCTTCGCCCAGTGCCTGATATCTCTGTAAAGATAGCTGTAGTCTGGCTTTCACTATTATCCACACATTTCGGCACCATGGACTGTCCCTGAGACCTACAGCCTAAGGCCAGAGGGTCCCTGGGAGCCAAGATGGGATCAGGTGGGAGGAAGCATCCTAAGGTGAGAATCCCTGGATGCAGTAGGGTTGGGACTGGGAGGGGGAGACTTTCAACCCAAAGTTTCCTGAGTGGGAGCTGGTCTTTTCAGAGATTAGGAACTTGGGAGGGGAGACTAGGTTATGCCGATTGCCCCATCCACTCTCTTCCACTTTGGCTCTCCATCTGAACTGGCCACTCCTCCACTAAAGAAGAGAGCTTTTTGGAAGAAGAGGACAACAGGGCAGGGGGAGGTTTGTGGAGTCAGGTTGGGTATTTGGAAAGGTACCTGGAGACAGGTGAACCTGGGTTCCAGTTCCCTCACCCAGTTGCTCCCTGTGGGGCCGGGACCCAAAATGCCACCTCTCCCAGCCTCAGTTTACTCCTCTGCTCTCAGGGAGCCTACATCTCCCACATGGGGTGGCCATGGGGATTAGCTAGAATAACACGTGGCAGCATATGGGTAGGTGCTTAGTGAATGGCCGTTTCCTCCTTGCCCCTTCCCCTTCCTTCACACTTGAGGAAAGCAATTATCTCCCCGTGTTTATGCATGAGCTGCACGCCTCTCCCCACCCAATTCCTCAGCGCAGAGGTGGAGGTGTAAGGCCACTGCCTTCCTTCCCACCTCACACAGGCCTCCTCTGTTGCTGGTAAGGAGAGAGGAGGAGGAGGGGGAGGCAGGCAGTGGTTTGGGGCCCAGGGGGAGTGTCTCGGCGCCTGCCTGCCACTTCTGACTTGCTGTTCCAGGCAGCATGCTAATTAAGCCAGGAGGACCCACAGAACAGAACGGCAGGCCCCCTACCTCCGTCCAGCCCCCAGTGGCCTTGTGTGGAAATGGGCAGCATAGACAGGCTCTTTGCTGGGGCTTAGGGGTGGAAGGAGAGCTGGACTAAGCTGTGACCCAGAAAGGAAACAGAGAAGGGATTGGCAGGGGTCTAGGGAAGCCTGGCTTGTGAGTGGGACAGGAACTGGGTGATGTGAGGAGAAGGCCACAATCTCTGCTTGGTCCCAGCCTGTGCTGGGCCTGGACTGGCCTGGCCCTGCCTGTAAAGGAGGTGTTGACAGAATGATAGGGTGGGAGGTCCCGAGATGGGGGCACTGCAGGGCCAGCATGCTGGGAGGTGACTGCCTGGTACCTTATCCTGGGGCTTCTGGTCCTTATGACTTACTTATTTGTGTGACTTGGGGCAAGTCCCTTCACTTCCTTGAACCTCCATTTCTTCCCCTGGAAAATGGGGAAGGAGGCATGCTAGGTTCAGGTGAGTGGTTCCCTCTGGGAAGGGCAGGAGGAGGGGCAGGGAACAGGAGGGGCGGACCTCGGGACCCTTATCTCTATCGGGGTGGTTTTACTCCTAAAACAAGATGTAGAACAATGTTAAGATTTGACGAAGCTTGGTGATGGGTACACAAGTGTTTGTTAACATATTTCCTCCTTGCGTCTGGCCTGCGTGTCTGAAATATTTCATAATAAAACGAATCTCTAGGGTAGGGGAGGGTATAGCTCAGTGGTAGAGCGCATGCTTAGCATGTACGAGGTCCTGGGTTCAATCCCCGGTACCTTCATCGACATAAATAAGTAAATAAATAAACCTAGTCACACCCCCCAAACAAAAAACAAAAATAAATTTAAAATAAATTTTAATTAAAAAATAAAACAAATGTCCAGTGACAGCATTATATATAGGATGTGAGATATGCCGAACCTCAGGCATCTCCTATAGGAGTGGATCTAATGTGCTTTGGGAAACCATGTGACAGGACTCGAAATCCCAGGGCTGATGGCAACCCTGAGTCAGGGGTATCTGTGAATCCATGCCTTTTAAGTTAAGAGGGTAGCAAAAGACCTTCAAATTCCCATACACCTTCTGTGACATATGATTTCTCATAGTTGTGTATAACCGAAGAATAATTCAATATTATAAGTAGAATCAATGATGGGGGATGGAGATGCAATTCCCCACCTGGATCTCTTGGTCTCTGGCTGCACTTTAGAATCCCCTGGAGAGCTTTTCCAAAATTAGAATGTCCAGGCCCCACCCTAGACCAATCAAGTCAGAATCCCTGTGGGTAGGGGCTGGACTTTCCTATTTTGAAAAAAATCTCTCCAGAGGATTCCCCCTGTGTAACCAGGCTGGAGAACCAGTGTGCTTTGGCCAGCAAAAACCACTCTCAGATCCCCCAGTTCTCCCTTTCACCTGTTTGGAGAGAGGATCCTGGATCTGGGCACGACCAGTTGCCTTTCAGGGGTCAAAGCTATGTAACCCTTGATGTGGCTGCCTTCTGCCATCCAAGCCTTCAGAGCACATCCCCCAGCAGTCCTGACCAACCTGGCCCCACACCAAGGAGGACTGCTTGATTGTTGTTGTTGTTGTTGTTGTTGTTGTTGTTGTTGTTGTTTTCTGGCTCTTAGTACTTTTTTTTTCTCTTTTGGACTGCTGATTTTAAGAGGGTTGAGATGGGAAAGCATCATCCCCCGACCACAAGGCTGCAGGAGGCTGTACTTTGAAATTATCCAGTCCATTGGCCACTTCATCTGCACCTTCTGTGCCTCTGGCTCCGGTAAACGCAGCAAGCTCCTTCTCAAAACTCCTCCCTTGGCTTTCTTGAAGTCTCATTATCTTGTTTCTCTTCTGACTGCTCTGGCTATGCCTTACACACACACACACACACACACACACACACACAGCCTTCTTTGCCTTCCTCCTCCTCTCTGTTCACCAACGCGTGTCAGCCCCTGACTCCCACCCTGCCAAGGTCTGGGCTTTGACAAACTCTTCTCCTTCTACCTCACTGCGACCTTCTTAACAGAGCTTTTTTCAAATTTCTCTCCAGCCCTCCAACTTTGCCAAGCTCCGGTTCCACCCCCTCAGTTATCTGGAGGACATCCTTATTTGGAATTTGCTCTAGCACCTCAAATTCACCTACACTAAATTCGTTGAATCTTCCATGTCCCCTCCCCTCTGCCAGCCATCTCATCCAATTTTTGCTCGTGGCACCTCTGTTCTCTTAGTCAAGTGACAAGTCAGGTGACAAATTCGGTCACCCCAAATCCTCCCTGTCTTGTCTTTCCCCTCCCACATCCTTCAGACAGTCAGTGGATCTCAGTCCACAGACTGGTGAGTCTTCGCTGGGAATATCTCCTGCTCCCGCAGGATTCCCCTCCACCTCTGTCCTCATCACTCCCGTCTGACCATCCCAGCAGCCACCTCCCCTGTAGCCCTCCTCCCTCTCAACATTGATTCCCTACTCCCCAGTGCCTGTTTGTACACCCCAATTCTTCAGCCTGGGAGGTGCGACCATGCTCAACTGGCTCCAACTGCCCTTTCTAACCTTGAACTCATTACTTCTGCAAGAAACCTTCCTCTCCGGGCAGACTGGTAGCTTTTGACTTTTACTGAGCACTGGGGGCTCCTCACTGTCCCTCAACAGCCTTGGTTTCTATGGAGGACATAAACTCGCTTGTAGGGGCTGGGTAGGGAAAGGAGCGAATGAAGTCAGCTGAGTTGGGACACAACCAGGAGTGGTGGCAAGTGTGGAGAACTAGACAGGGCATGTCCCTGCCCTAGCCCCCAGACTCTTTACAGCAGGTACCACTCTTCAGCCCCCACCATTCGTGCCCAAGGAATGAGGAATGAGGGCCCAGTATTGCCAGATCCTTCAATTTATTGAGAGATACCAGAAATCTAAACTTGAAGGTAAAATATCGAGGTTTCTCAATGTTGGCAAATCATTCCAATTTTGTTGTTGTTGTTGTAAAATTTTGTACTAGGCTCACAAAGTACTTCTGTAACTGGGTGCCACCCATGGACTCTGGTCTTGCAATAATATCTGGTCTCTCTTCACACCCATCCCCTGCTTGGGGTCTCCTCCCTGTGCCTTGTGGCCCATGCTTCCTCAGTCCTCAAGGCCCAGCTGAAGTCCCATCAGGCTGACCGAGCTATCCTTGGCCACCTCAGTCCACCTCCAGGTTCCTGTGACCTTTAACCTTCAACGTCACGTGCCTGCACCCAGTTAGGGTGCTTAGGGAGGCAGCCGAGCACAGAGGTTAGAAGTTAGAGGTGAGGGACTCTAACTAGGCTGCCTGGATTTGAATACTGGCTTAGCTACTTTTTGTGGGGGGTTTTGTTTGTTTGTTTGTTTTGCAGTTTTTTGCAGGGGGAGGTAATTAGGTTTATCTATTTATTTTTTTCATGGAGGTACTGGAGATTGAACCCAGTCCTTAGGCATGCTAGGCATGCGCTCTACCACTCTACCCTCCTCTCTACCAGTTTAGCTACTTATTAGCTGTGTGACCTTAGGCAAAGCTGTTGCCTTCTGTGACCCAGTTTCTCTCATCTGGGGTTGTTATAATGATTAAATGGGATACATCATGAAAAGCACTTGGAATAGTACCTGGTTTATAATAAACACTCAATAAATGTTAGCTGTTCTGATCATGGCTGCTTGGTACCCCACTGGACATTTATATGTTCAGATTTTGCCTGTTGAATTGTCAACTCAGAAAGGGCAGGAAACATGCCTTATGGCTTCTGTAGCCTCCCTCATCTGCACCCTCTACACTCCTCCCCGAACCCCTCAACATCTAGTCCACATACCCAGAAACACAATCAATCAATGCTTTGGAAAATGTTGGTTGGAACAGACTGAATCCAATCAGCAAGCATAGATGATATATTGCCCCTGTGCCAGGCAGTGCCAGCAGCAAGACACAGAGGCACAAGCACCCACTGTGGGGTCCGGTGCCCCAGGCTGCTGATTCCTAGGAGCCTGAGCACCTGCCAACGACTTCACCTCCCTGACCTTTATTTCAGCATCTTTGATGTTAAGAAACCTCACCACATGGGGTAGGGTAGGACACTAGGGGTGAGGTCTAATTATCTAGGTCTCAACTTAGGTAGCTTTTCTTTGAGACTCAAATGAAAGTGTCGGTTCTTGGGGAAAGAGTACATCCCTTCCAGTGGGACTCTGGTGCATAGGCCTCCTCTCCCAGTGCCCTCTGTCCCTGAGCCTGTTGCCCTGAAGAGCTTCATCTACAGATGGTGCCATCTCCAGCCCTCACTGTCACAGAACTTACTCCCACTGGGGGCGTAGGGGCGGGCAGACTTGAATGAAGGCTAGACAAGATGGAGGGGCTTATGTTATAGAATGACAGGCAACTTTCGAGTGAGTTTTAGACACTGTTTTTTTAAAAGTTCTGAACAACAAGGCCCTACTGTCTAGCATAGGGAACTATATTCAAGATCTTGTAATGGCCTATAGTGAAAAATAATATGAAAAGGAATATATATATATATATATATATATCTCTGAATCACTATGCAGTACACCAGAAGTAACACAACATTGGAAACTGACTACTTCAATATAAAATACTGCCAAAAAATTTTAAAGTTCTTGAGTGATTTTTATCATCTAGGTAAGCACTTCTGCTAGGCTTACTCTCCACTCCTCACTCCTTTGCTACCCTCTAGAAACTCAAAAATAATATATAAATATAGGGGGAAGGTATAGCTCGGTGGTAGAGTGTGTGCTTAGCATGCACAAGATCCTGGGTTCAATCCCTAGTACCTCCGTTAAAAAGTAAATAAATAAATAAACCTAATTACCTCCCTCACCTCAAAATAATATATAAATATCTTGCAATAACCTTTAATGGAAAAGAATTTGAAAAAGAACATATATATATACATACACACACACACATAAAACTGAGTCACTTTGCTATACACCTGAAACTAACACAACATTGTAAATCAAATATACTTCAATTTAAAATAAATAAATAAATAAGGAAACTAAATGTGTGTGTGTATATATATATATACACATATATATATACATATATATATACACATATATATATATTCTTTCCCTTCATTATGCTGAGCAATTTGACTTTCTCCAGCCCCTGCTCCAATACAGCCCCCAAATCAGCGTGCTGTACTTGACACCGTGTTGAGGGTGGGAAATAGTTCTTGCCTCCTGCAAGAAAGAAATCAAGAGCAAGGGATAGTAAAGTGAAGGCAAGTTTATTTAGAGGGATATACACCACATGGACAGAGAGCGGTCTGTCTCACTCAGAAGGGAAAACAGCCAGGAGATACACACTCCACAGGCAGAATGTGGGCCATCTCAGAAAGGTGAGAGGGAGAGAAGCCGAGAGGCGTGGGGTGGTTAGTTTATAGAAAAAGTAGATACACACTCCATAGACGGACTGCGGGCCATCTCGGAAGGTGAGAGCAACAGAGCGAGAGCAACCATGAGGTGCAGGGTTTTTAGGTTTTATGGGCTCGGTAATTTCATATGCTAATGAGCAGAAGGATTATTCCAACCACTTTGGGAGGGGGCGAGGATTTCCAGGAAACGCACCCCCACCCACTTATTGACCTTTTATTGTCAGCCTAGGAACTGTCATGTTCCCTGTGGGTGTGCCATGACACTCAAGGTCTACTGGAGGTCAAGTCTTCCGCCATCTTGGTTCTAACCAGTTTGTTCTGTCCTCAATGGCTGTGTCATTCCTTCAATGGTTGTTCCCTGCCCCCTTTCCTCCCACTTCAACTGGACCACATCCTTTCTCTCTCATCTTTTCTCTTTGTCCTAGAGAGGAAGGTCTCACTATAGAGATTTATCCCCCTCACATATCCTATATGAACTTTGCCTCACTCCCTCAGTTGCCAGAAGTAACTATAGTCACTTGGGTTAAAATGATTTGTTTCGTCAGTTACATGTTTGCGTGTGTGCGTGCGCGCGCGCACATGTGTGTGTATGTGTGCGTGAGAGAGAGAGAGAGAGAGAGAGAGAGAGAGAGAGAGATGCATCTAGCACAGTGCCTGGCCCGTGAGAAGTGTCAGTACGTGGTAGCTACCCTTCCCCCATCCCATCTTTCAGGTTCTGAGGCCCCAGAGAGGAGAGACATGATCCCTGCCCTCCACCCCATCCAAGAGCTCACAGTCCAAAGAGGGGGAGGAAGAGCCAGACACTCACACCCGTGTTTTGGTGGAGATCTGTACCAGCTACAGGAGCAGAGAGGAGGAGGAGGAGGAATGCTATCTGACCTGGGGCTGGTATTAAACACTGGCACAGAAAATGCCATCAGAGCTGTGTGTCTCAGGGTGCCAGTGGTAGGGGAGGAGGTTGTATCAGGTAGTCCACAGTGGCTGGGGAAGAGCGTGGGTGTTAGGGCCAGGCTGGGAGGGGAGATAGGTTGGGGACAGACTGTGACTGGCCTGGAAGGCCAGGCGCAAGAATTTGGACTTCATCCTGTAGGCAGGAATGAGCCATCAGAGGTTTTGTTAAGTAGAGGAGTAACCTGATCAGAGCTGTGTTTAAGAAAGATTAATTAAAAATACTGTCTGGTGTGTTTAATTCCTGGCTAGCCCTGGGCTTTGGAAGAGACGGGGAGAGGAAGACAACAAGGCCTGGATGAACAGGCAATTCACAAAATAATGGCCAATAAACATATGAAAAGATGTTCCACCCCACTAGAAGGCAAAGAAATGCAAATTAAAGCAACAATGAGATACCATATTTGGCCTATCAAATTAGCAGGGATTAAAAATGATAACACTTGATGCTGTGGAGGGTTTTGTGAAACCAGCCTTAGCGCATGCTCTGGGGAGGGGGGCGGTGGGGGGGGTAGGTAACAGCCGCAAATCACTCTGGCCTTTTAGAAGGGCAGTTGGATGAGAGATACGAGAAGCTTTTTAAAAGTGACCATTGTGTGACCCAGAAATCCCACTTCCAGATATTTGTCCTAAAGAAATCATTGTGGATGGGAGCAAAAATGTATGCCCCCAGTGTGCCCCCACTCCCAGCAGTTATTTATAAAAGCAAAGAACTGGATTGAATGGGGGAAGTGTGAAAATTGTCTGACTGCAGCCTCTGAGGCTGGACCTTAACATTTCTGAATCCTCAAAGGCTGAAGGCAGGAGACAAAACCACAAATTCTTTTTCCAACTGTCCATGGGGTGTTGCCTGAGTCTCTAAAGAGAGCCGCTAAAATTTGTTCTGGGGGCAGACCGTGCCTTTGTTCTACTCGGGGACCCGCCGGCAGGCCTCTTGGTCATGCAGATGTACCTCAAGTACCTATTCATTGTCTTGGGGAGGCCCTGACTCCATATGCAGATGCTCTAAGCAGTGCTGGTAGGCATTCTGCTTAATTATGTAAAAGGCCGATTCAGTTGTGGGCTACTCGGCATCTCTTGTGATGGTAAATGATTTTCAGCTCCCTTTGGCCTGGCTTTGAGACAGCACGGGGGCAGGTGGGGTGGGGGGGTTTCGATGACAGCCCTAGCATGGGAATAGAAAGGACCTAAGAAAAGAGTCTTAGGTTTGAGGAGGACAGGGCCCCAGCAAAGTGGCGGCAGTCTGAATGAAAGACCCTGGCTGCCAGCAGTGAGCCCTGGGGAAAGGTCAAAGACTCTCACAGAGCCATGAGGGTGCTACCAATTGGAGTTCCCCATGTCAAGGTTACCCCAAGAGAAGTTCTGTTCACAAGGTGGTACATGGAAGAAAAAGGCATTTGATAGTTGCTTAGGGTGAAGTTTCAAATTTAAAAGGGTGGTGGGGGAGTACTGATAGAAAAATTCATATTTGGGGAAATACTAGGAAAGCTGGAATATAAATATACAGCAAGTCTTGAAGGTGGTTGCAATGAGCTGAAGTTTGGGAAAAGTTACTCTGTGTTGTCTTGAAGTCAGTGAGAAAGTTGGTAAACTATGACAGGCCAGGTGCAACTGCATGTTGGGGACTTGAGGCAGAGGCTGTTGTCCACATGTGGACCTGGGGCACAGAAATGACTGGAGCAAGCAACACAGAGGGAGAAGTAAGAATAAGGATGCCAGAGGGGACAGGGGCTGCAGGGGACAAAGGACAAGCAGAAGGACAGAATCCCTGGAGCATTGTGAACTCAGGGCTCTGTGCTTTCTGGACACCCATATGTGTTACCGAACTCATGTTCAGCTGCTTGCTGCTCAAAAGTCAATAATCCAGATGCAAGTGTCAATAGAAAAGAAAGGTGCTTTAATCAGAAGAGCTGGCAGTCTGGGGAGAAGGTGGACTCATGTCCAGAGACCAAATTCAAGGATTCTGCTCAACCATGACATTTTTTAAAGGGAAAAATGGACAGGAGGAGAATCTCGGTGAATCGTTGAGGCAGGTGGTTGAATTCTGCATTGTGCATTGGGTGCAGACTGGCTGACCCTCTCTTCAGATGTTATCTGGCCCACAAGGTCTGCCTGCAGGATTACTAAAGGGGCTGTTGAGGGTAGAGAGTGTATCATTTAGCTGCTTAATTCTTCATTCTTACTTCTTTTTATCTAGGTAAAGAATCACCAGGTTAATCAAGGCATGGTGTGTATTCAGGAAAGCATAAGTCAGGAATTAGTTTCAATTGCTTAGTGATTTCATTCCTGTAATTAGATTCTTCTGAGGGTAAAGGGGGACAGAAATGGGTAAACAGGAAAGGGGCAAAAGAGTTGCTTTCAGATGGGCTCTCAGACTAAGGGTATTTGGCTTTAAGAGTGATAATGGAAGGCTGGAGCTCTTGGAAATGCTCAGGTCCTAAATGCATAGGAAATCCAGGCAGACATTCCACATGATGGCTTACAGAGAGCATTTCTGAAGACATAGAGAGACGCCAGTGAGAGATCATGAAGTGAAAAAGAAGAACCCAAAACCATAGAACAATATGACCTCAATTATATTAAAAAAAAAAGACTAGAAAGAAATACACCAAATATTATTATCAGTGAATGTCACCTGGGTGAAAGCCTGAAGGAAGAGTCCTGCCGGTCAGAGAAGTTCAAGGGACAGCCATGCTTGAATTAGGGATGGAAGAAAGCAAAGTCTGCAGGGCAACGTCCGTCATTCATTGCCATTCCAGGAAGAAGAAGAGTATGGGAAAAGCCGAGGATGTAAGAAGTCTAACATGCTGGGTCACAGATGCCAGTCATGTTCAGACTTAAGTGTGTGACTTATCAGAGACCTCTAGCCATGGAATGGTATATCATAGGGAGTTAGAAGAAGGGGGAGAGCTGTTAGAAGTTAATGACAGCTATCCAAGACAGGTGACAAGGGTCTGCACTCTTGTGAGGCAGTGGGGAAAGAAAGGAGAAGCAGAGAACTCAGGAGATATCAGGGAGGTATGTGGCCAAAACTATCACTTGCTATTCCAGTGAGCAAGGAATGTTGCCCAACATCAAGCCATCAGCCACTGCAGCCACCACCACCCTCAAAAATGCACCCTGAGGGGAATTTAGGATGGAGAAAATACGGGATCCTGGCCCTAGATGGCTAAGATGAATATCTAAATAATAACTTCAGTGACCCCAAACTCTTGCATCTTTCCATACATAGAAGAGCACTAAAATCATTAACTTGAAAAGATGGCTGTTTTTTCTTAATTAGCTATAATCTTTTGATGTTTGACTACATTTTTTTTTCCTTTTCAACAGAAACTCCTGTATAGCCTAGCTCCTACCTTACCTCTTCGGAGCAGTTTGTCAGAGCTCTCTGAGGTTGTCTCCCAGGCTACAGTTCTCAGTAAGGTCCCAAATAAAACATAACTTGCAACTTTTAGGTTTTCGGTTTGGCTCTTTTCTTCAGTTGACAGGTCTAAGGGACTTGGAGACAAATTGTACATGGGTGAGGGAGAGGGTGGCTTGAAGGAGGACTCCCAGGTATCTGTGAGGGTTCGGACCCCTGGGTGGAGCAGGAAACCTGGCTTTAGGCACAGCTGGCACAGGGCCATGCCAAGAAAAGGCAGGAGCAGTGCTCGAATTCTTACAGCTTAGGTAGCAGCGAGGAAATATGGTTCCTCCCAACCCCACCAATGAGGAGAGTCTCAGGGAAGGACTCTGATTGGCAGGCTTAGGTCACATGCTCATCCTTGTGGCCAAGCAGTCTGCACCTATTACCCAAAGAAGGAGAAAAAGGAGTCCATGGAGGATAAAAATGATAATCACCATAGATTCTGTGAACTCAAGTAGAGTGAAGGGGAACTCTAAATGTGGACTTTGACCCACACAAGTTCATGAGTGTGTGTGCACAAAGAAGGAAGGTCATCACATCAGAAGCTCAAGTTAAAATATCCCCAAATCCGCTCTCCCACCTCCAGACTGCCCATCCGTTGTTACCTCTTCCTCAACTCCACTGCCACAGCCCAAGGTCAGGTTCTCAATATCTCTCACCTGGTCTTTTGCCCCCCACTCCTCCTTGCTCTCCCTGCCACCAGGTCTACTATGGACATAATTGCTGCCACAGGGACAGTTGACCAGGATTAGAGTTAGTGTGGCTTAGTGATTAAAAGTATGAAAAAAATACAAAAAATAGTATATATACATATATATATCTGAAGCACTATACTGTACACTGAAACTAACACAAAACTGTAAATGAACTATAATTCAAATTTTTAAAAGTGTGAGCTTCTTCAGAGTATGGATCCTAGTTCTGCCACTTACTAGCTTTGTGACCTGAGTGAGTCACTTTGCCTCTCTGGGCTTCAGTTTCTCTAGGAAACTTCACAGACTTATTGTAAGGATTACGTGAGTTATTATTTGTAAGGTACTTAGAACAGGATTTGACACGTAGTCAGCACTATGTGAGTGTTCTCGAAGATATGATGCTGTCATTCCTCCACTGAAAACTCCAATTTATGTCCTCTGCCTCCCATAAACTCACCTCCTCCAGAAAGTCTTCCCTGCCTGCCCCCTCCTGGCTGAAGCACGCCTCCCCTTGCACAGCAGTCTCCCTGGGGGGAAGTCGGGGCTGTTTGATCCATAGCTTGGCCCCCAGCATGGAACACAGCACCTGGCAGGTAACCAGGGCCTCGGTAAATGCTAACTGCACAGACGTCTTACATCTGAAGAGCTCTTTGCACTTTGCAAAGTGCTTTTTCCATATGTTTGTCCACTTAAGGCACACCACACACCTGCCGAAGGCACATCATGGCCTCCATTTGACAGATGGGGAAGCTGAGGTTCTAAGAAGTAAAGGGGCACAGCCAGTATACATAGAGTGGGGCTGGAGTGTGAGTGTGGGCATTCTGCTGCCAAGACAGTGGGAAAAGAGCCATGGGTTAAGGGTCAGTGGTGCTCAATTCCAATTCCATGTTTTAGGCAGGGGAGTGTACAGCTCATGGTAGAGCACATGCTTAGCATGCACGAGGTCCTTGGTTCAATCCCCAGCACCGCCATTAAAAATAAATAAATAAATAAACCTAATTACATGCCACCCCAAGAAAAAAAACAACCAATTCCATGCTTTGAGTCTTAACTCCTCTGGCTGCGGTTTTCTCACTGTATCACATATTGATTGGACTGGAATGAACCTGAGGGCTCTTCCAGCCGCAGCATTCTGTCAGTGGCTGTCAGGTGCTCCCTCGCCCTCCCTCCCTCCCCCCCACCCCCACCACAGCTGCCTCACACCTGGGATCAGCCTCTAGGAGAATAAATGACATGGCAGGGGAAGCAGGAGCTGGGAGAGTTGACAGTGCTGGCCAGGCCCCAGTGGAGGCTGAGCAGTTAAAGGACTCATTAGATGTTAATGAACTGCAATTGAGCGTATTGATTACCTCTCAAATCATTTCCTCCTAATTCAGTCCTCCCAGGTCAGCAGGCCCCTGGCTTCCCTAGGCTTCCTGCCCACCCTCCTAACTAAACAGCTAAAGGCTTCAGGTAGGGCTGCCAGGCTCCAGAGGTTGAAGAGGGCAGCAGGAGCAGAAATGCTAAGGTACGAGCCAAGCTCCATCTCTGCCTTGCTGCCCCTCCCGCCTGCCGCCTGCCTTCACTCCCTTATCTTGTCAGGGCCAGCTTCCTGGGTGTGCTAGTGGTGCAGTCCACAGGGCCTCACACTTGGTGTGATGCTCTGCTCTCCCTGCTTCAAAATTCATCATTTTTGTTTGTGTGTGTGTTCTTTTTTGGGGGAGGGGCTGTAATTTGGTTTATTTATTTAGTTAGGTATTTAGTTATTTTTTAAATGGAAGTACTGGGGATTGAACCCAGGACCTTGTGTATGCTAAGCACTCATTCTACCACTGAGCTCTACCCTCCCCCCACAAATTCTTCATTTTTAATCAAGAGGGCTTGCATTTTTATTTTGCACTGGGCCTCGCAAATCATAGAGCATCTAGTCTTAGGACAGAGTGTGGTCTAGGTAAATGGCATCCCGTAGAACTGCAGAATGCCAGCCCTGGCTGTCAGGACCTCCCAAGCCCATGGAGTTTAGTCCCTCAGCTTGATACCTAGAGACGGGAATACATTTGTCCAAGGTCACATAGCCCAGCCAGTCAGTGGCTGTGTGAGGACCAGAACAGAGTCTGTTTTCATTTTTTCTCTTCTGTAGACTTGCTCCAGATTTTACGATCCCCCAAGCTTTTCTAGAACAAGCCTTTGGACTAGATCACACCTCTCATCTTTATTTGACAATTGATCTTGTAAGAAAGTGCTCAGGGCTGGAGATTTTTGAAGTGATCAGCCCCCACCACCACTCCCATTGGATGAGACAGGCTTTTTCTAGTTTCCCTCCCAGATGTCCCTGCTTGCTCACCTGTAGTGTCAGAGAGCTCATTACCTCACATTGCAGACCACTGTTAGCTCTAAGTTCTAGGAAAGCTCTTTAAGAAAGTCATCTGAGGAATTACCTCCTTATAATCTTTTCCCTATGGTCCTAGTGAGACAGGAGAGAAGGGGGCAGGGCACCACCATTAAAAGAACGACACAGCAATTAGCACCAAGATGGCAGAAGATTCAACTCTCAGTAGACCTTGGGCTTCATTATAAGCTCACTGTAATACATTAGCTAAATGACACACCCATAGGTGCCATGACAGTTTCAAGGCTGATCATAAAAAGTCAAAAAGCGGGTGATGATCCAATTCCTGGGAATCCCGAACCCTTTCCCAAAGTAGTTGGAACAATCTTCCCACTTGTTCCATATGAAGTTACCAAGCCCATAAAAACTAACAACCTCACACCTCATGGCCTCTCTGGCCTTCTGAGAAGGCCTGTGATTTGTCTATGCAGTGTGCATCTCTGAATTAATCTACATTCTCTCTGCCATTGCTCTTTCCTGAGTGAAGCCAAGGACCCTCATTTGGCAGGGCACGTCCCAGGGACTCGACTGAGACCTGGGACACGTCCATCCTCTTGAGCCCCATTTCCTGTATCACTAATTATTTTCTTGAGGAATACCTCGGATTAAGGCAGTACTATCTCTTCTCAACACCCCCGAGTTGTAAACCAACAGGGTAGCTTTTCTGGAGATTGGATAAAAGTGGTGGTGATCTGTCCATTATGGGTCCTATTAACCCAAGACATCAGAGTGTCCCATAGAGAGGCACAGAAAGGGGCATCACAGTTCTGAACACTTGGCCTGTGGGAGAGCACCCAAGGGTGTGGGCAGCCTCTGACCAGGATCTAGTGCCCTTGGGTGTGGGAAGCTGAGACCCAGCTCATCTGGACATGCCTTTGGTTGTGTCCCAAGGCAGCAGGACTGGCTGAGTTAGAGGATTCTTGCCAGCGCAGGGAGCTCTGTGAGCCAGTTCTTTGGAGTTCAAAATTTGCAACTAGAAGCCAAATCCCACAGCTCCCAACCTCATGATCCACTGATCTTAAAAGGCTAGGCATGCACTGGTCCACCCCTCCTTCCAACGGTCTGCAGCACTGGAACCTCAGATCCTCCGCCACCCTCAGGATCACACTGTTATCCTGCCTCATTCAACAACCCCAACCCAGCCCCCAAGTCAGGCCTCCTGCAGTGATGGGTGGCAGAGGGCCCAGATGTACCCTGCTTTGCTCTCTTGGGCTGTCACTGTTCCCAGGGGCCAAATTAAACCAGCGCTTTGTCCCCGTGCAGTGGAGGCAGGCGTCTCTGGCACTCTTCCGCTCCACACTCCATCTCTTCATCAACTGTTGCCAGACAGCCCACATAATGTTGGCATTTCATGCTCAATATTCTTGATGAAAGTGGAACATCAAAACCTCAGCGGGGTGGACACATGGAGACTAAGTGAGGCTCTCGCCGAAGGACCTATCTTCTCAGCACAAGGAAATCAACAAAGCTCCTTTTTCAAGGCTGTCTCGTATCATTATTGTCATTCTTCTTCTTCTCCTTCTTCTTCTTCTTCTCTTCTTCTATTGCATCTAAGTAGAAATAATAAGTTGTGTCTTGCTTTCATATATATATGTATCTTCTCCCTCTTGCTGATAGCAATCTTTGCCTCTTGTTATAATAAATATTGATGGGTACTGTTAGAAGGCACCAGGGATTTAATATTCTGGCTGCTGGCTCCATGGTTCACAATGTGGGTGTTAAGGAAGAAGACTGTATTATCTGCTCACACACCTGTTTTGCCACTTGCCTCTCTCCTGCAGCAAAACTTGGGCTACTAATGCCACGGGGAATTGGCTTTCCTGTAATGTCACTTTCTTTCTCCACTTTTTTTGTGGTTCCAGGGAAAAACACTTTTCTGCCAGCCCCGGCTTGTTACCACCCACCCAGCCTCCTAGGGCCCAGGTGAAGAGAAAGATGCCCAGTCCCTCATTCATGTGTTCCTCATTCAGTAATTAATTCATTCATCCTATCATCAAACATCTGTCAAGCACCTACTGTGGGACCAGCCCATGGCAGGGCCCGTGTGTGCAGAGCTCCGTGGGACACAGTCCCTGGCCTCCTAAGGCTCCTGGTCTGGAGGAGGAATGATCTCAGTATAGTGCGATCAGCATGATATCAGGGAGGCAGAGCCACCAGCCCCATGAGTGGCACAGTAGAGGTAAGGGAGATGTCAACTTCCTGGAGGAGGTGCTATGGAGCCTGGATCTTAAAGCTCAAGTAGGATTGAAATGTCATCATCCTGATGGAGGTTTCCTTTCAGACCAGGCAATCTGAGGCGCTCAAGAAATGAATGGCCCTGAGAGGGGAGGAGATGCATCCAGCTCACTGTCCACTTCTTGTTTGAAGCCTGTCCCTGCCACAGACCCATCATGTGACCTGGGGCAGGCCACAGTCCCTATCTGGCCTCCATCTATCCTAAAATGTCCCATCAACACCACCACTTCTCAGAGCTGGGTGTGGCTACCTCCATCCTCCAGGAGCAGCTCCTCTTGGAGGCAGAAACAGCTATAGTGTGGGTTGTCCCCTGGGTGGAGGATGTCTGTGCCAATAACCTTGTCTTGGTGCAGAGATGGGCAGATCCTTGTGCTCAGGGGACTTCGACACTGACAGGAAGACAGGAGTAAGGGGGACAGCAATGCTGACCTCCAAAGGAAATCCAGGTCTGCCAGCACTGGGCCTTTGTCAGAAGTAGAAGGAGAAAAGAAAGAGCTTTCAGGGTGCCTGGCAAAATGGAAGGCATGTTCATATGTGCCATGCCATTAAATCTCTGAGCCAACCCTCCAAAGTGAGGGAGATGTCTACCTTCTTCACCAATGAGGAGCCTGAGGTATGGTGAGTCTTGGACTATGCAGTCAAGATGAGCCTGAGCTCTCGCTCAGACTGCCTGATTTTTTAAAAATTTTGTAATGTTTTCTTTTATTATTTTTTTATTATATTTTAGGGAGGTAATTAGGCTTATTTATTTTTTTAATGGAGGTACTGAGGATTAAACCTAGGACCTCATGCATGCTAAGCAGGCACTCTACCACTGAGCTATACCCACCACTCCCTAGACTGCCTGATTTGAAGCCTGGTTCCACATCTTACGAGCTGGGAGATCTTGGACAAGTTGTTTAACCTCCAATTTTCTCAGCTCTAAAATGGAGGTAATAAGAACACCAACCTTGCTGAGGATTAAATGAGATGATATATGAAAACCACTTGGCTGGCACCTAGAAAGTGTTCAGAGGTCATGTTACTACTGGCTAAGGTCACAGA